ATTTTCTTCAGCTTCTTAATGTTTCTCTGTAACTAAAATTAACAATACAAGCAAAACAACATTAAAAGTTCTAAAACTTATGATAATGAAAAATGGGTAAAATGTATCTCCTATAATAGCACTTCACAATTATAAAAATGGAAATCCACATATTCAATCTAAAAGGAAATATTCACAAGAGAATAAATCTATTAGCAAATGTTTCCAGAATAAAACTACTTTGGATGACAGAATTCCACAGTTGTATATAACAACTTTGCCATCAGCTAAGTTTTCTTAGGATGAAATTAATTATATTCAATAAAGGATAAAAATACATTATTTTAGGGCCTCCTTAGTGGTGCAAGGGGTTAAGTCTCAGCACTAAGAAGCTATCTGGAGCACGAGTGCAATCCCCAGCCAGGGAGCTAACCCACATGGTGCAGCAGACCTCTCCTGTCTCTCCCGCAGTGTATTTCAGTCAATCCTGTTCTGCTCCCCACTCTGTCTGTGGTGAATCTTCTCACGCCCCACACCTCTGGCCTAGACCCCAGTTCTTAAGATGAATAAATAAATCTTTTTTTAAAAATACATTATTTCACTAGCACTCTAACCATTAGGTAAATGTGATATACTTGAAAGTTTTAAGACAATTAAATTTTAAAGATTTTAATGGAGAATGTAGTATTATATATATATTTTTAAAGATTTATTTATGCATACAGAAACTGGGGTACAGGCCAAAGATGTGGGGGATGAGAGGATTCACTAGAGACAGAGTTGGGAACAGAACAGGCGGACTGACTGAAATACACTGCTGAGGGGAGCAGTGGGCGAATCAGGAGAGGTCTGCTGTGCCATGTGGGCAGCTCCCTGGCCGGGGATTGAACTCGTGCTGCAGTGGCTGCAGATAGCTTCATTGGTTGCATCTTAACCCCTTGAGCCACAAGGGAGACCCGTGGTATTTATTATATTTATAAAAACAACCTCACCGCTTTATTTCATTCTACATGATTATGTCCCAGCATCTGCAAAAGGGGTATAAGCTGAGAAGTCCTATCTAAATAGGCCAATTTCCTCTATATTACATGACCCTTCAGGAGAATCTCACCTTCACAGATATTAATTATGATTGGTTTCAAAATTCTTTTGCAGTTCTAGGACTTGTGGACTTGACAGTGTAGTAATAAATTCAACTGCACATTTGAAGACTCAAATTTTACTCTAAATGCTGTTATTAACTAGATAACCTGGATCACAGCACTTCATCTTTTGGGGCCTCAAATTTGTCATCAACTAAAGAAATGTTCCCACAAACATTTTTGAGAAAACATTTCTATCAACTCTATCTAGAGCTTTCTAATGTGGTTTCAACCTAAAATGCAAATGGACAACTTTCCCAACAATATCTGCTCATAAATTCCTTCTTGCCTTTTTTTTTTCTTTTCCTTTATTGAGGTAACATTGGCTAACCACACTACATAGCATTCAGAAATACAGGATCCCACCTCTTCAGGTGTATGTTACCACTGCACCTCTACCATCAAAGCACCCATAGTCCTTTACCATAGACCAATGTGCCCCCTTCCCTCCTTGTTCCCACCTTTCCTCCTCCTCTTTTTACCTTTTTAAACAAGCAGGGTTAGAGGTAGGAGCACATTAGGATACTCCTTTAGACCTCTATATAATTTATCCAGAAATATGGCCTAAGTATACTAATTAATCATAAGTTAAGCACAGCAGATCTCAATGATTTATGTAGACTCCAAGATGCTAAAAGTGACCAATTTTGGTTAAATCACCTAACTCTGAGTCTTCATATCCTGTAACAACTAAACATAGTTTTTCTGAGTACCTCCTTAACAATATATAAAGAGGGGCCTCCCTGGTGGTACAAGGGGTTAAGCACCACACTATGAAGCAATCCGCAGCCTATGCAGCATGAGTTTGATCCCCAGCCGGCCAGGGAGCAACCCACATAGCAAAGCAGACCTCTCCTGTCTCGCCTGCTGCTCCAGTCAGCAGTGTATTTCAGTCAGTCCTCCTGTTCTGTTTCCCACTCTGTCTCTGGTGAATCCTCTCCCTCTCTCCCTCTCCCTCTCTCTCTCTCTCTCTCTCTTTCTCTCACACACACACACACACACACACATATACACATCTCTGGCCTGTACCCCAGCTACTGTATGCATAAATAAATAAATCTTTAAAAAAAACCAATATATAAAGAACTCCATTTTCTATTTACTGTTAGTCCATCACTTTCACTTGGGGGAAACCCCAACCTCCTAGAGGATGGAGGATATGCTATGCCCAGAAAGAGCAGTTTTGCTGATATATAGGTACTATTTCATACTACTACATTTTAGGTTTTATGTTTTATTTTCATAAATACTTTTCTTGCTATCTTTTAAACTCTGGTCCTATTTCACAATCCTTTTGGGCTTACCATTTCATTAAGTATCTTCCTCCCTCGAGAGAAACAGCATTGACAATATTACCAGATTGTGATGACTAAAATATTTTCCCTCTGACAAATTAAAATATGTCCTTACTTTTCTATTATGGAAACTTCTCTTAAATCTAAGCTAAATGGAAACTCAAAAAATAAAGTTTTAATATCCTTGAATTTTACCTTTCTCCCTCAACATGGTGGGATGGAATACTCCAATTACTTCTTAATGGATAATTTTCACTATCTGAAATATACAGCCAACTATTTTGATGAAGCACCTACATCAAAAATCAACCTACATGTGTGTAAGGGTGGATGAGTATAAGAGGGAGGAAAGAAAGTATGTGTGAGATCACAGCTTAGTTAGTAAAGGCTAGAAGGCTAAACCATTACAAGAATTTTTATTTCCCCCCCCAACTCAAATTTCTTGATTAAAGCACTTAACAAGGCTGTTGGCTGTGATGTCAAACAAACAAAATGGCCACACAGTTGAATACAGTAATGGCAAATGCCTTAGAAATGGTCAAATATATTTGTAGATTAGAAAAAGGGGCTATTGTAGTATCTCCATCACAATTTTATACAAAAACAAAATCACTTTTTTTTTGGTAAAACAACAAAGTAGGTTAAACAAGGATTTAAAATACCACACTTTTACATATGACTTCTCAATTTACCTCAGGTCCCACCTTAATTTACTTATTACTACTTTTCATCAAATTCCAATTTTGGAGTCCTATTAGGAAATTTTGGGGGACATGAACATTTTGGAAAAAAAAAATCTGCTGAAGAAAACTCAATATTCTACAGACAGAGCAGATCTACACTTAAGTACCTGTGATAGCACTATGGTTTTGCTGCTTTGGAAAAGACAGAAGCCCTACTATCATTGTGACTCACTGCTTTGTTTATCAGTGTACACTGGAATGCAAGACTTCACAATCAATCCTGAGAGAAATCTTATCTATTGTGAAAGTATTTTACTGCTTTATGAGTGGCAAGTCTTGAATCATAGCCTGTACAAAGGATTTGTCATGAAATAATGTGCTGTGGAAGTTGCCAAATTCATGAAAGCCAAGACTTACAATTAGGGACTTCTCATGAGGTTTTGTCGAGAAGTGGGAGCAACTATCAAGTTCTTTGCCACCTGTCAGTCCTCGGGCTTTCAGAAGACAAATTCTACAGTCAGAATTTTGACTGCTATTCATGGATAAAATAAAAACTTGTTTATAGATTTTAACTTCTAAATCTTAAAACTAAAATTGGAGGGATGATCCTGTTCTAACATAGCATTATGTCAGGATATTGCCAAAGAATGAGCTCATTAACTTGAAAGCAAAGAAAATGATGCAACATGAATTTATCTAAAGAATCTTAGAGATTTGTTTCTTGACACAAGCCTACTTTCATCTGGCAAAAGAATCTACAGATTCCATTTGCTCTTTTATTCTTTTCTAAGATAGGGTTTTCAGCACCTGTTTTCATCAAAAGCAAAGCCAAAACTGATTATCAAAGATGACCTAAAAATTGCCCAAGTCAAAAATAATGGCATAGTCTCAACATGTTACTTAAAAGTTAAATAACAGCAGCCATTCATTACAATTTACCATTGAACAGCACTAAAACTTAATTTGTACCACTTAAACTTATACATCGCCCTCAAGATTTTTACATGACAACAAAAATGTGACATGATTCTTAGAAAAGATCTCTTTTACATTCTATATTAAAAAAATAATTTTCAGAGCAAAGTTTTTTGCTCATGTATACCATATACATTTTTTTTGTGGTATAGTATTTACAGCTTTCAACATATTTCTACAAGGTATAAAACAAACAGCTTATGAGCCATTACCTTAAATCCAGTGTTCTGACTCCACATTACACAACTTTCCATTTTTATTTTAAATTCTTTCCACCTGATTTTTGCCCCATTATCAAAATGTCTGCTGTTCAACCTTGTTTTACATTTCTACCACTGCTTTTGGGTAACAGTATTTTTAATTTGACCCATTTTTCTATGGGCTTCTTCCAATTCAAACTCTTTTTCCTCAGCTGCTGTTGCTCAATGTACCTTCTATATTTTTAGTCAGTGAAAGCAATTATTTCCCTTTAGATGATGAAGGGATGATCCAAAGTTAACATTTAAGGTCCTCCATGCTGAAATTCATTGCAGCACTATCATTATAGGGTACACATAATATACAGAAATGTAAAGCAAGCTACCATAATCAATATTCACCAAAATTATACCTAAGATTTAATTTTCAAAGTATCACCAGTAAATAGTATTTTGGCATCCTTAAATACAGTTAAAAAAATTGCAAAGACAAATAAAACATGAGGAAAAAAACAGGAACCAGAAATCAATACAAGTACCCAGTACGAAATGATCAGTAAAATCACTAAGTTTCTGTTTGAAGTTGAATTAAAAAAAAAAAAAAATAGCTAAACTGGAAGAGAACATTCCTGATTCAAAAATTATTAACTAGAATAAAATATTCACAAGAGGTTATGGTATCTACCACAAAAGAGATCTCTAAGTGAAAAAACATCAAAGGTAACTTACCTTTTTATCTCTGGTCCTTACTTCCCCATAGAAATCTAGGGCTTCTTGTGCCTTTAAAAATTTGCCCCGATGTAACAAATATGCACAAATCATTACACCAGTTCGCCCCTTTCCAGCTTTACAGTGAATCGCTGCAACATGATTGTCATCTTCACTTAGCCATTGGTCAAGATCTTCACAGAAGGGTTTGATAAGTTCTAGCTGTGGTGGATTATGGTCTTCAAAAGGATACTGTGCAACTGCATTAAAAAGATAACCTCAGAATAAGAAATCTCTCTAAATTGTTTTATTAAAAGTAGGTTAACTTTAAAAATGTTGCACAAGCTTAACATATTTAAAAGAAAAACAGAACTCTAGAGAAAAACTAAGTTATTGCCTGATAATTTGCTGATTTTTGAATAGAAAATCATCTATAATTAATTCAAACTTATTCATTAGACAGCGAGGCCAAAGTATTATTTCCTGCTTCTTTATAAAGGAGGAAACTGCTATGGAGAATTAGCACATGTCACAACATAACAGAGATGGAGAAAACCTAAAATAAAACATCTGGTGGGCCTCTTGTCAGGGTTGTCACAGTACTTTCTAACACAGGATTAATAAGACTTACATTGTATCATCACAAAATATATCTCCCAAATAAAGTATGGTTTACTAATAAATACAATAATGGAAAGGGCTGCATTTTACACTTATACTAAATAAAAATGCTAACGTGGTTTTTAAGGATGGTCTTGTGCACCTTAATGTTGTATACACAAGACTTTGAAGGCACTTATAAAAAACACTTATTTGTAAAAAGTAAGTGTTATTAAATGTAAAGTTTATTAAATGATGTTTCAGGTCCTTTCACATTATTAAGAACCCAAAAATTCTCTGTTCCCTACAGTCTCGAGTTGAGTTTTAAATAAATTTGTCTAGAAACCAGACTGTAAGGAGATCACTATTAAATTTTAAGTTATTAGACTCTACTTCAGTTCCACTCTATTAAGATTCTTAAAAATCCTGATTGACATCCATGTACCCAATTAGTCTCTATGTCACCTAACTGTATAAAGTAGGTCTTATATCTTCAGCCATGCCATGCATATTGTGGTACAGGGTACAATCCAGTTCATTCGTGTGTCAGCAGGGCTCCTCCCCTTAGACAATGACTACCATTACAGCTTTCACTTAGTCCTCCACCTAACTATTTACTATCATTCCATCCTCATTTCCCCACTACCATAAAAATAAGCTCAGAAAAATCTGTTAAATGTCTGTTTAAACTAGGTGTCTCAACCTCACCATGCTTTGCCTAGTAAGCAGTAACCTAAATTCACCAGAAAAGAAACATTCTTAGTGAATTTATATTGGCTCACAGCATTAATGCTTGTGACTCAAACCAACTGTTTGAAAGTTCATTCTAGATTTTTGGGAGGGATCAATGGCAAATAAATCAATCTGCAACTCCTGGCACCCCCTTTCTCGTTTTGATTATCACAGCAGCATCCGCAGTGTCTCAGCTCTACAGCTCTTACGACTTCAAGGGATCCCACAAATACAAGTGGAAGTTTTCGTGGGCTCTGAAACAGAATTTCCTACACTTGTGAAGAACTCATTTCAAGCAGCTCCCTGCTCTCACCAATAAGGCTGTCTTATCTGTATTTTCACCTTTCAGAGGTCATGCTCCTAAATTGTTCTGTTCTCACCCTAGAATCTCTTACTATTACTCCAAATGCCTCAACAGTAGATATAAATAATCCCTTCCTTATTATATTGCTAGTCTAAGAATTTCTCATAATCTGGGTCTATTCTGCAATTTAGTCTTTCTAGTACTACTGGCATGTTTATGTGATACTTGTTTCCTAAACACAACAGCAAAATTTATTTTTCAAATTTTCTAAGAACATCTTTAAGATATTTATCTCATATAATAATTGACATTAATTATTACTATACTTACAATACTCAGTGCATAAACACTGTACAGTTAAGATTTAGTCCACTGATTTTAAATTACACAATAAAGTACATTTATACCTACCTCTGCAGTTAAATTTGGCGGTATCATAATGTCTTTCAGCACATCTAAAAGAAAAGTTTAAATGTAATAAAAAGTCATCTTTTGCGCTTGAGAAAAAAATATTATAGTAACAAACTTTTTTGAATCTCTACAACACTTATACTAAGTGTTTTAGGTTAACTATTTCTTTTAATCCTAAGAATCCGATGAAGTAGGTACTGTTATTACCTCATTTTACAATTAAGGGAACCAAGACTTCAAAGGTTAAGGGTATACAATTAGAGCTTATACATTTGCTAACAAAACTTGCTATGCCACAAATACACAGCACTGCAAATGTAGCTGCATTTATATCTTCAAATTTCCTTTAAGGAAATTCTATAAACTAGTGGAAATTGTTTTTGATTTCACAAGTATGTAAAAACAACTAATTAGTTTCAATATTATATTTACCTCACAGTTGAACATACACAACCTATTATTTAAACTATTATTTAAAAAGACACCTTTCCAAAACAGTAAAATCATAAGAGCAAAGGAAAAGTAAAGAAATTTAATATTTATCTACTAAGACACAAACTTAATAAAATTTTTAAAATCAAACCTTTCTTTTTTTAGATAAGTCAAAGGTCATCTTTTTTAATCTCCCAGGTTACAAGTTTTAATTAACTAAAGTCTGAGAGTAAAGAAAGAGTACTAAGTAAAATCAATATAGAACAGTAAAATGTCAACTTAGCATTATTGAAAACATGCTAAAGTTTTGTTGTTTTTAACAGTAATGACCATTTGTTATCATGCACTGGCTTACTCATAATTAACAGGTCATGTTTATAAACATTCATAGGCTCAGAAAGAAACTTTATACATTAGTTTGTGCTAAGCAGCAACCTGGTAACTCTAACTCTTAGCCAAACAATACTAAAAATATGATTTAAAAAAATTACATTTTAAAACCCAATAAAGCTCTACAGCTCCTTAGCAATTCCAAAATCCCAAAGTCTGAAACATCTAACATTTTTCTTCAGTTTACAACAAACTCAAATACTGAAACCTGTTTTGAGCTTATGAGATTGTACTTAGCCCTTAATTAATACACTTCAAGTGAAGAGTCAAACATTCATTCTAGGTTATTGGTCCAAACCAAACTGGGGAGTTATGTAATACAAAGTTTAAGCTTCCATTTTACTTTTCAGAAAAATGAAAAACCCGAAAGACTGAGCTTCATATAAACAACCAGTTACCTGTATTAAGCATTTAGAAATTGTGAAAATATCTACAGTTCCTCTGTTTTAAAAAGTAAAACAAAATCTACGTGAAGGTTGAACTAATTATAAACAAACAGCAATCCACTGGTTTCTAAGTGGTCAGACAGAATAATCAACTTTCATATTACTACTCAAAACAAACCTTTTCATTTTAGTATATTCAATATATCTCATTTTGCTAAAAAGAAAATTTAATAATATATGCACATAAATGCATCCTTGATAATTTTATACATATATAAAAAACATGACAGATAGTAATAGAGCACTGATCAAGAAAATAGTCACATACTGTCACAACAGAATGGTGGTGACCAGAGAGGGAAGGGAGAAAGGGAAAAGGTGGAAGGGTAGTGGTGGATGGAGTCTGGACATTTGGTGGTAGGCATGATGTGTTACGTATATTTGCTGAAGTGAGAAACTATACACCTAAAACCCAGTGTGGTAAACTAACATTACTTTAATAAAAATGATAACAACAGCCACATTTTAAACTTTTTCTGTTATAGATTAAAGAGCTATGATCAGTAACAAAAAATGCAAACTTGAGTATTTTATAATTAATTATATAAAGAAAGGACTTAAGAGGTGAGGGAAGAGATACAGGGTAGGAAACAATTCTAAGAAGCTGGCTCATAACACCACAACAAAAAATAAACATGTTGTGTTTCAGGCAGCTTTAGTTTTCTCTAAAATTTCCATGCTTTCTCAGGAACTCAAAATGTTTGAATTTTGACAAACAATGCTTAAGATTACTCTCTAAACTGATTCTCAAAGAGATGGAGAAGAAAACAGAAATAATGAGTTATTAAAGGTCTACTAGATGTGCATATCTTATAAAGAAATTTCCGTGTTCTTTGATTCATTCTCATAACCATGATAGTAATTAATTTTTACTGTGGTTAATATATACCATATATCTATCTATATGTGTGTGTGTGCATGTGTGGTATAGATATATGGCATGTATATAAATATACATATATGAATGCTAAGAATTAGAAGATTATTTAAAAATGCCCCCAAACCATAACATGTATGTGCTAGAGCCAGGACTCAAGTCAGTATCTCTCATTACAAAAGCTAAATTTTCCCACTACTCCTCCATAATTCTGATTAAAATAAAAAATAGAAAACAGTTTTAAAAACAAAAGCAATAATAAATTTTAGGTAAATTCTGTCTTCCTAAAAGTACAATATTTAGCACAAATGACAGAACCAACATGATAATGTCAAACATGAAAATGTCATAAAAATCTCTACAGGTGTCTATATAGTGAGTCTGTATGACCATATACCGGGACTGGTGGTAATGAAAGCGACCTGGGGAAGCACTAGTAGGGTAAAAATCAAAATTCTCTTCTTAATTAAAACCTCTGATAACTGCATGCACATGTGCATACACACATACACAAAGTTTCTTGTACATTTTTTCTTGCAGCATGTCAGTGATAAGACAAGTCTCTCAGCAAACCAATACTGAAGGTACACAAATGGCATACGGGATTTGACTAAGACAAATGCCGCATAAATCTAATCATTTATACTTTCTTATAACTTAATCTTAACTTAAAAGATACCATTTTTTATCATTACCTCATACATATTTGTAAGAGAAATAAGAAAGAATATTTGTAAGAAAAATAAAGAAGCAGTGAAGAGGGAGGTTTTAAGAGGCAGTAGAAAGTGAAGAAAGGGATAAGATTAACAGGAAAAGTTCCAAGAGTGAGAGTTTTCATATAACCTGCTAGGCATGATTAAGTCCCTTCCTTATTCTCTTCAATGAAGACATCTGTATCTTATAAAAAACCTGAATAACATTAACAACAGCTAAGGGTTTACATAATAATGGAGAACTGTATGTCAAATAGAATCTACAATGAGATACAATAAACCTTATAAAAAGCAGCATCCTGTGAATATTTAAGTTCCTCAAAGAGGAGAATTATATTATGCCTTTTTCCCCCTATCTTACTCCTCCTCTTCACCTAACAAAATATAGATTATACAGAGGAACATACAAAAATGAAACACTCTTGCATAAGACTGATTCATTTGCTCATATGTATACACAAATTTGGTTAATATGAGGCTAGTTTTGTCCTTACTTAAAATAACTTATTGAATGCCCAATGAAAATACAGAGATAAAGCGATATTGTCAATTATTAAAAAGTCCACACTAAAAATTCTTCCATATCATAATTTTCATAAAAAGTTTAATACAGCATTAATACAGGTATATCTAATGCAAATATTGTAATACCTTGCAATTCGTTTGCAAAGACAGAACAATATATATAATTAATATTAAAAATAAATAAAATAGAAACTGCTGCTGCTTGCCAGACTCACTTATCCAGAGTCAGAAAAATAAACGGGGTAGAAAAGAAGGTGAACAAAAGATTGGGAAATAACATCACAAATCAAAGCATGCTACAACTTGGTAGCTCTAGAAACTTCTGAAGTAAAATTTGGGGAGGTTAAAACAAACTGAAAGGGAATACTGGACTAAACAATGAGTGATTTACTACCATATGTACCTGTGTGACCTTGTTCAACTCACTTAACTTCTCTAGGCCTCAGATTCCACATCTGTAAAATGAGAAGGCTGGACTAAATGATCTCTCTCAGAAATTTTCTAGTTCTTAAAGTTTATGACTCCATTAAATGGAATGGGAAGGAATGGGGTTAAAATACAGGTACAAAAAACTACTCTCAACTAATAGTGGGACAGTTTATTAACTTGGGAATCTGACGTCTGCAAATACAAAAACAGGCAAATTCCTAGGCTAGATCCTAATGCCAACTTTCACCATAATCATGTTAAGCAACTCACAATACTGATAGTACAAACCTAAATCCTAAATTCTAGAAACAGGAAGCTGCCGCATCCAGGAATGAAAAGAATTTCCTTCCCCTTTTCTTTGGATATAATGTTAAACTTGAATAAAATTTCAAAAAAGGCAGAATTTATCTTTATTATCTTTTGACCTTTTTTTTTTTTAAATACTCTCTAAATACCTAATCTTAAGTCTAAGCCTGAAGTGACTCATTTAATGGTTTCTAGCTTTTGACAGTTCTTGTCCTTTTTTTAACTTAATTTCTAAATCCAATTGTTCAAAAGGCAAAAAGCCTTGTGGTTTTTATTTTCCTCCATAGAAATACTACGGTATCTGCAACAGGTTTAATTGTAGAAGAGGTTAATCAAGAAGAGAGGAAGATACAAGCACAGATCATTGTAAGCTAGGGCCTACATAAACTTGTTTCTATAGCTCCTTTCATTTTCTTTCACCTTTTTACCCATTGCACACATATTCACACACACCATCCTCTGACCATAATGGATTATGTGCCACATTCTAAACACTATGCTGACAAGAAGCTAGTGTACAGACACACTGTTCTCTTGGCCTATAAGGCCATTTCCCCTTCGCCACAATAGAGGTTGCAGATCAACCTTTATTGAGCCTTTTTATTCCAGGTCAAATGTGACTTTCTTAATAATACCTTCCCTATAGAGAACAATTACTAATCCTACTGTTTTTTACATAGCTCTCTTACAGACAACAATTACAGTCTTCCATATTTTGTCTAACTTTCACATTAGACTTGCTACCTGAGGACAGAAACTACGCCTTATTCATCTCTGTACATCCACCATGTTTTATAATGCCTAGCATGTGAAAAGCACTCAACAAAGGTTTTCTTATTAGTGAAAAAAGAAGGCTTCAAGGACAAAAATGGTAAAATACTTTCTCCATTTTTCTTTCGTTCTTTTTTCCTCTTCACATCTCTACTCAAAAAGTCAAAAGAAAAAAAAAAACAAATGCTTAAAGGTAAAGTCACCAGGCTGAATAAAACGGACAATCCTTACAATCCTGCCCCAAACAAAAGAAACCACCCAGTTCAACAATTTTAGGTTATTATGTTTATGCTATACACAGTTGGAGAATACACTATTGGCTTTTTAATCAATTGACCAAGAGACAAAACAAACATTATATCCACTGTGGAGCACACCCTCATGAAAGATATCATTAATACTTTTAACAGAAGCTCTGCTGTGAATTAACTTCAGTTACCACATGGTAATGGGCTCAAAGGTGGGCTAGATGCCAAATCATTTAAAGCAGATCAAGTAACATGAATATGTGCCAGCATTTTTTTGACCTGACTGCTACACTGTCTAAATGACCTAACAAAGCTCTCAATAAGACTTCTTGAAATAATTGTTTTATGAATATAATTCTGTCAAAATATATCTTTAATTCTAACTTACTTTAACAAGGAAATAACTTTCACTTAATAGTTATTTTAGAAAGTCATTTGCAAGCATACAAGTAAGAAAACATACTTACAGATTGTATATCTTGTAATGGTTTTTATGCTTTGAATCCAAAAACCTTAAAACAAAACAAACAAACAAAAAGCCACCATTAACAAAAATGAACTAACATTTGAAATTACATTAATACTACTGAAGAAAACCCAAAAGACAAATTGTATTTTTCCTAAGCTCATATGCCATTTAAGAAAAACAAATAAACTCCAATGAATATTCCCTCCATGGGTTTAAATTAGTAATCAGGTTATTCTCTAATAATTATTACATTACACAGATTTATACAATCTGAAGTAAAGCTAGATTTTTAATAGAATATTTTTATAATCTCTCTTCAGTCTAATATGAGTCTTCAGTCTAATGAAGAATGTTACAAAGTAACTATTTTAAAAGGCAACATTAATATTCTGCAAGTTCACTTAGCTATTACAGATTTGAGAAAACCATATACCGTCAAATAATAATCTTCAAAATAACCCAGAAAATTCAGTCATTATTTTTTCTCAAATTAAAAGCTTTTACTAATTGAAAGATGGGAGCAGTAACTATTAACTTTGTACAAAGTTTAGTAATCATTTTCACATATATATAATTTGAGCCTCTCAAACATCTAGGAGGTAGAACTTATTCACAATTTATAGATGAGGGAAGTAGGTAGCAAAGAAGTTACAGAACTTGTTTAAGGTATTAAGTAGAAGAATCAAGACCAAAGACCTCTCCTTCGGAACAATTAGTTTAAGAAACTAAACAGGAAGGACAGTTACAGCAAACACAAGCACTTATTACACACTAGGCTCTAATTTAAGTACTTAATATATACAAATGTGTTTAATTCTATGAGATCGGTAATAGAAGGGTTAGAAGGAATAAAGATAAGGAAGTGACATGATTAAACAGAATAAAAACATAAAAAACAGAAAAGATTTTTAAAAATCAGAATATAGAAGATTCAAAATATGAGTTCTAGAGAAGAACAGAAAATGCAGAAGAAATCCAAGATAACTCAAGAAAAATACCCACAACTGGAAAAAAAAAAAACATGAATTTCTAAACTGAGAGGGGAGACGCTGAATATTCAGCAAAAATGATGAAAATAGACCTAAATAAAGGCACAAATATCTTAATGGAAATTCTGAATACTGAAAAGACAAAAATAAAATTCTAGAAGTTGCCTAAGAGAAAACAGTTTTCATAAAAAGAATCTGGATTCAAAGAACAGACATACAGACCAATGGAATCGAATAGAAAATCCAGAAATAAACCCACAGATTTATGGTCAACTAATCTTTGACAAAGGAGCAAAGACTATGTATTGGAGCAAAGAGAGTTTGTTCAATAAATGGTGCTGGGAAAACTGGGTCGCTACATGCAAAAGAATGAAGCTTGACCACTACCTCACACCATACACAAAAATCAACTCAAAATGGATTAAAGAACTAGACATAAGACCTGAAACCATAAAATATATAGAAGGAAATATAGGCGAAACGCTACGTGATTTGCACATAAAAGACATCTTTACAGACACATCACCCAAAGCAGTGAGAGTGAAGGCAAAGATAAACAGCTGGGACTACATCAAATTAAAGAGCTTCTGCACAGCAAAAGAGACAATAACAAAAACAAAGAGAAACCCCACCAACTGGGAAAACATTTTTGCACCCAACACTAATGATAAAGGACTGATCACAAAAATCTGCAAAGAGCTGATGAGACTTAACAACAACAAAGAAAATAATCCAGTCAAAAAATGGGCAGAAGAGCTAAAAAGAAACTTCTCTGAAGAGGAAATGCGAATGGCCAACAGGCATATGAAAAAATGTTCAACATCACTTGTCATCAGGGAAATGCAAATCAAAACTACCATGAGATACCATCTTACACCAGTGAGAATGGCACATATTAAAAAAACTAGCAACAACAAATGTTGGCGAGGGTGTGGAGAAAAAGGAACTCTCCTGCACTGTTGGTGGGAGTGCAAACTGGTCCAACCACTATGGAGAGCTGTGTGGAGATTTCTGGGCCTACTAAACATAGAGCTTCCATATGATCCAGCAATTCCACTCCTAGGTATTTACCCAAAGGACACAGAAACATCAATTCCAAAGAACACCTGCACCCCTATGTTTATTGCAGCACTGTTTACAATAGCTAAGCTTTGGAAACAGCCCAAATGCCCAAAAATAGATGACTGGATCAAGAAGATGTGGTACATATATACCATGGAATATTACTCAGCATTCAAAAAAGATAAACACATGCAATTTGCAGCAACATGGATGGCGCTGGAAGGGATCATGCTCAGCGAAATAAGCCAAAAAGAAAAAGAAAAATACCGGATGGTCTCACTCATAGCAGGAATCTAGAAAACTTAAATAAGGGACCAGGAAAATGAATAACTATAAGAAAGTGAAAATCAAAATCAACAAAAAACTATGAACCAGAGACACTTTTTGGGGGCGGGGTGGGAGGGGAGGGATTGGGGTCAGAATGGGGGGGCTGCAATTGTATGGGGAATATAAAAATAAAATTTATTATTTAAATAAATAAATAAATAAATAAAAATAAAATAAAATAAAAAAAGAATCTGGATTCAGAGTATCACCCACCCTTTTTTTAAGGGCAGAACTGGCAGCTTGAAAACAATTAGATAAAACCTTAAGACTTTGAAAAGAAACTGTAAATCAAGTGTGAGTGTATAAATAAAAGCATTTTTAAACAAGCAAAACCTCAAATAATTTTGCTTCTCAGAATATTTGTTGTCTATAATTTCTCTACAGAAGTTACTAGAAGTGCTCCACCAAAACAAAGGTGGGAAACCATGAAAGGTGATGACAAATTCCAGAAACTAAAGAATCCAACTTCTGAGAGGAACAGAAAGTCCTCAAATGATGGTAAAGACAGCCATATACGGCAAGTCTACGAAACAACTCATCCAAAACAGGGCCGATCAGAAGGCGCAGAGAAGATAAAATTGATATAATACCAAATGTGCTCAAACATGCCAAGAGCTTTATACAACTGGGGATAAGTTGAAGGATGAATTAAAGTTAAGAATTAGAAACTAAACTGAGAATTCTAACTCCAGAGAAAAATGTGAGAAAAGCAAGACATACTTCCTCACTTAACTGAGAATAGCATTTATCCAGTCATAATCACATTAAAAAAAAAAAAAAACTGATATAGCCAAAATTGTAAGATAACAACTAGTAGGAGAAAAATGGAGGCAAAGTTAAAAAGATATATATGTTGTTGAATGGGAATTATGGGGGAACGGAGTATTCATAAAGTCAATATGAAAAATCATGTTACACAAGTAATACATGAAGTACTTGTAGCTTTGTCATTAACTGAAACACATTTTTTTATCATACTACAGATGCACAGACATTGCAAATGTTATTTATAATTAACACTCAAAATTAACAGTCATTAGAATGCCAATAGATTTTTGTTATTTATTGTATTAATCATTACATTACTATATACTTGGTTTTCAATATTTTCATAAGTATTATAATCCAAATCAATGTAATAGGTATATCTGTAATACCATAAGTTTTACTTTATAAATTTAAAATGACTGTAAGAAAGGGTCATACAATTCACAGGATTACCAAAAGGTACATAGCATAAAAAAGTAAGATTAAGAACGCTTGCTGGGCCTCCCCTGGTGGCGCAGCGGTTGAGCGCTGGGCTGCGAAGCTGCCCGCAGCCTCTGCAGCACTGGTTCGATCCCCGGTCCCTGGAGAGGGTCCCACATGGTGCGCAGACCTCTCCTGCAGTGCCCGCTGCTCCCCTCAGCAGTGTATCATCAGTCTGCCTGTACTGTTTCCCGCTATGGCTCTGGTGAATTCTCTCATCCTCCCACGCTTCTGACTGTACCCAGTGCTTGTATAAATAAATAAATAAATCTTCAGAGAAAAGGGGAAAAAAAAGAACGCTTTCTAAGGGATCAAAGAAAACAAAAGATTTACCTTTTTTTTGTTGTGGTGGTAATAAATCCTGTAGCTCTATCGGATTCTGATATTTCATGTGCATCTTTTATTTTTAAAGTAAATACTCATGATATATGTGACTTCTGAGCATTCTCTGTTTTAACCTACTACTTCATTTAACCAAACAAGCATAAGTTTTACTAAGATTTCTACTGAACTATGAATATATTAGGGTAAAAGTGCTATGTTACACATTTCACATGCATCCTTTTTACCCTCTTTATTCCTGTGTCTTTGTCAATTTGTACTCCTGGATTTTTCTTTAAGCTTGGATAAATTGCATAGATGGTGAAATATACAGATCTTAGGTGTACAATTCCATAAGTCTATAACAACCACCCCAATCAAGAAACAGACCACTTACTTACACCACCCTCAGAAAATTAGTATAATAATCAGAGATTGGTTTGACGTTGGTCTTGAATTTCATATTAATAAATCGTGATTATAAAATTCAGAGAACAACCCATCACTGCTACCTGTCATATCTTCCTCCCTGTGTTTATTCAAACAGAAAATAAACATGCAAAGAATTGATCTCAAAATACAATTTTCTCACAAAAAACCTACAATGTAAATGTGAGCAGAAGAAAAGATTCTGGGAGGATTAACAGTTCATTTTTGGTTCATTCTGTCTGGCAGCTTTAAGTTTTCAACCCCAATATATAAACCAACATTTATTAAGCTGTATACACACTCCTTTTTAAGTGCAGGGAATTCTATTCACATGTGGCATCCCTGCATACTTATTAAACTAGATGTCTCAGGATGGACAGAATACATACAAACAAAGTCATTAGTGATTAATCAAGGGTTTAACAGGGAGATATGGTTTCCACTATTCATTTTCTACATTTCTGTAATTAGTAAAACTTTCCATAAATGTATACTATTTTAACAAGAGAATTTTTGGACCTCCCCTGGTGGCGCAACAGTTGAGCGCTGGGCTGCAAAGCTGCCCGCAGCCTCTGCAGCGCCAGCTTGATCCCTGGCCACCGGCATGCAGACTTCTCCTGCCATGCCTGCTGCTCCCCTCAGCAGTGTATTTTGTCAGTCTGCCTGT